AACATTGAACCAATTATCTTCAAAAATTATTTTTCTTTAATATTCACATGTTGAAGAATAAAAGATGACCAAATGTAATAATGTTGTCGCATAGTAAATTACTTATATCTTGATAAGATTTAAATGTATTATTTAAACATAGCTTGGTTTTCTTATTCAAGTTTTTATAAGAATTTATGAATATACCCTCTACCGTTTAGCTCTTACAGCGATTTCAGAAGGGCTATTGATAAAATAACATTATAAATAGAGTATTAGCTTGTCTAATATGCGATTGATATGGTCTGATCAACCGAAAGTCTATATCTTTATATATGAATCGTTCTATTGACTCATTGACTGCCTGGTGGAGAAAGGGAGTATGATGACATATTAAGCATTGATTTTGTTTCCTTTGACCACATTATTGAGTAGGCAAAAACAACATCAATACCATGTTATTGAAGTAATAGAACAAAAGGACGAAGTAAACCCATACAAAATCATGTCAAAATAATAGATGCGCTTTTGATATATCGGTGAAATCAACATCTACTTTGCTTTAGAGTCATTTTATAAGCTCTGAAGACATTTAGTTCATAATAAATACTATTTTAACTTCTCATGAGTTGAAAGTTTATAATACATATTAATTTTGTTCTTGATTGTCCATCAAGCTACATGGTCAATTGTGTTTTAGTACGTGTAATTTGTCGAGCTATGATGAAGATTTCGAAACATGCCTAAGTCACTAGTGAACTCCTTCATCGATGTATATCATGCGAAAACTCCGAAAAATATCCATTAAGTGTAGGAAGAGAACATTTCGTTTCGAAAAATTCGATTTTTCTTGTTCCATTTTTTAAAACCTATTGATTTCGTAGGCTTGATATTCCAAAGACGGATCGATGACAAAAAGAACTCGTCGAATTGTTTAATAACTCATGAAGTTCACTACAAAAAATGTTCTTATCGTTTTCAAATCCCATGCTTTCCTTTTATCTTTTGTAATCATTCTACAAATGATCACTTTAGTGATCAACGAGGAATAATTGGCTAAAATATTGAAGTGATTATTTTAAAAGGATTCATTTTCCATTAGATGGAAAAGTTCGTTCTTAACAATTGGTTTATCGATCGATTAATGTTAAAGCACAAATATATTTTAATATATCAATTATTTTACAACAATCATCAATTGCTTAATTCTTATAATTTGTATTTAATTCAATAATAATTGAATCACATAAAGGTTTAACGAGTTATTCAGCTAATATTGTATGTCTTTCATTAGAAATTCTTGTACAATATTCACTTAGAGTTGAATCCATTTGCATATTCGTTTTAAATAAGAATTTTCCTCGTAAATCTTATTCGAATAGAAATGAATCATAAAAATCAATGTATTTTATTTCATAAATATACATAAAAAATTTTTATCGTTGTATACCTTTTACGAAAAGTTAATAAGTAAAGAAAACGATGAGTGGATGTGACGATTGATTAATGACTATGTATTCATGCAGTGTTTTTTGTTGTTGTTCACAATAGCATGGTTCACTGTTTCAAAAATCTGATCACATGATGGTTAACTATTCTAATAAATGTAGAACATATTTGATTTACTGTTATTGATCAATAATGGAATCATTTAATATATGATTATATGAAGAAAGATTCACAATTGAATATGTTATTATTTAAATTTGATTACGTATAATTTTTTTTTCATAAATAAGAAAAAACTTTTATTTAATAAAACACTATCAATAAACATGATTTTTTATTTATATAGTTAATTGAACTTTAGCGATATCAAATATCGAAGAAAAATTAAAGAGGAAACTTTTCCAATTTGCAAAATGCTTTTGACTTCGGATGCAATGCATAGAGTAGACTCCAGTGAAATATTAAAAAATCCAAAAAATATGAGAGACTCGAGATCTTCTCTACAAAGCTATAGCCATTCACTGAAAGTATTGGGTATGGGTGTGGATATTGATCTCCTTTCCATCCGTACCCACACAAAACTACACTCATACCCAAACCCCGCACCCTACCCGTTCTTTTCTCGATAATTTGAAATTATGTATAGAAAAAGCGAAAGAAGTCCATGTGCGCTTTTTATGTATACTCTAATACGATTGCGTCGTTAAAGAACGGAAGAAAGTGCGATAGACATTTCTTTTTTTTCCAACTTCAATTCTTGACTGCGATAAAGCGACGCGAAAACAGGTAGGCATACAGCAAAGAATTACTTACAAAGTCATACAAGCAACAAAAAATGATGATTAGTGTCTTTCCTTTAATTTTTTTCTTATTATTTTAAACTTATAGTGCAAAGCTTTTTCTTTTTGCCAATACATGATCAAAATAACGTTGCAAGATACAAGATATGAGTTTTGAATTACTGGCAAACGAGTTGTTGGTTGAAATCTTTGAATATCTTAACACCACCTATCGGCTTCGCGCATTTCATGGTCTCAACACTCGTTTCAACAGCCTCCTCTGCATCTCTTTCAAAACTGTTGGACTTGACATGCGATCCACGTCCAAATGTGATTACAATGCCGTATGTCAGCAATACCTTCCAGCTATTGGTGATCAAGTTCCGTTACTTCGGCTCACAAACGGTGACGATGGACCAGCGCAAACTGAACTTTTCTTTCGTCATGGCTTAGTTATGTGCAAATTCAAACATCTTCGATCGCTCTTTCTTTATTATCTTCGTTGCAGTGAACTTTTTACGAAGATACTAGCTGATTTGTGCAAACTTCCGCATTTGTCTCATCTCAATCTTGCTGATTGTCATTTTTCCATCGATCATGAAGTAAAACTCTGCATCATCAATGGCGTTTGGAGTTTACCTAAACTTACTCATTGCAATCTAGGTCTCACTTTTGCAAACGAAAACTATTTTATATCATCAACAGTGATCTCATTATCGCTTGAATATCTATCTATTCTTAGTCCTTTGCGTCATTTTTCCGAAGTGGCTTGTATATTCAAAAATACGCCGAATCTTCGAAGTCTTTCGGTGCACACTCATATGGCAAATGACTTTGAACCGTTACCATACTCTGCTTCATCAATAAAAGCATTAACGTTATTCTGTAGTGATATGCCACATGTTATAACAAACCTTTTGAAAATGATGCCTAATTTGTGTCATCTGAAAATCGAAACTGCATGTATATATATGGATGGACATCAATGGGAAAGAATTATCCACGACCATTTGCCCAAGCTCAAATTCTTTCGATTTAAGATGGATATTGCACTTGATCTCCATTTTGCGACATATGAATTTCATAGATTACTGAATACCTTTAAAAGTTCCTTTTGGATTCATGAGCGTCAATGGTTCGTTCGATGTGATTGCTACCCACAAGAAAGTTGTAGCATGATGTGTCTCTACACTTTACCGTATGCCTTTGACACTTTTCATATGAATTTCAGTGGATTATCTATGCAGTCTCAGTCAACCTCTCCTGATGTTCACAATCGTTGCTCGTATGAACGTGTGCGCACCTTGCTCTATGATTCTTTATTTGACGAACCAATTTTGCCACATCTTATCTTTCCCAACGTTCATCATCTTATCATTAATTTTCCGTGCAGCGATTACATTTTGCTTCTACTTCCAAAGCTCGAACTTTTGACTTCACTAAAGATTACAGTCTATGAGGATGCTGTTTCGCAAATACAAGCCATACTCTTTCAAACGCCTCGTCTCTACTCGTTAAGCATTAATTCATTCTACCCCCAATCTTCGCAGCAGCTAATCACTGAGATTAGTACTGTAGCTGTTCGAAGAATCGATTTACAAGGATATATTCCCATAACTAACTGCTTCTGTTTCAATGATGAACTCTGTGCTCAATTCAGTCAGTCATCGCTGGGCACACAGTGTGAAGTCCTTTTTATTAACGTTGAAAGTCGATCGAACATCCTTTGTCTTGTTAATAAAATGCGCAATCTTCGAGTGCTTCACGTTCGATGCCATGATGATCAGTGGAATCATCGGAACGATTATGTATCAACAACACAGGATGAACTTACCGATTGGTTGCAACCACTCTTACCGCCAACAGGCATCGTCACTAGGAATTCAAGCTTGAACTGCAATCTTCAATTATGGATACGTTAATGAAAAGTAGCTATGCTTCACTACGTACGACGACAAGCTCAGAGAAACTCTATTACAATAATCATAAACAGTGGGTATAGCTTGACAGTATGCTAAAACAGATCAACTTATAAAAACTGATTACATTTTTAGTGATTTTTGAAATAAAACCACAGAAATGGGCATCTTATTACTAATTAGATTGCAAAGAGAGACCATAGTTTGTTATCATCCACGATCATTTCCCCAGCAGCAGCGACAGAATTTTGAAAGAGGATGGGTGTGCGTGTCGATCTAAGTGAGGGTGTGGATGTGGGTATTAATTTTCTCCTAGCTCACTCCCACATGCACACATACCACCAATATTTATAAATAATAGTTGCTGAAACAACCTTTCGTTTGATCGATCAAAACATTCAAAAGCATTAGGATTATCATAAAAAAATGTCTCAGGTATGCACTGTCCATTTAGACATCGATCTTCATTATCTTCACATTTATTTATTTCCATATCCCAACAATGTTCTTCATCAACTTCATTTCGACAATCGACAATTTCATCACATATTTCACTCCAATCAAGACATGCAGATATTTAACCACAATCACATTATAAATGAGTGTAATACGTCAATATTGTTGGTTCATATTTATATAGATAAGATTCACGAAAAATCTCGTTTAACGTTAAATGATGAAACTTGTAAGCATCTAATGAATTTTAACACAACGGGTCAAATCTGGTTGATGTACAATTATAGAACATATGTGTTACCATTGATGATGATAATGTACTTGAAGTTAACAGTAGGTTTAAATAAAATTGATAACGTTCAATAACATCCATTGATGCCGACCAAAAATATAATTGTTCACTAGTAATATTTAGCTTCTAGAGTTCAGCAAAAGTAAAGTTTTGATCTTGATTATTTATTCGAATATTCCATTTTGATGGCCATTCACTCATACAATAAGAAATGATCTGATAAGGATCATTTTCTTCTTCAATCCAAGCAGCAACATGAAGACAATCATATTGTAGAACAATATTAATTTCATTGTCATTTATCCAATCGATGAGATCAGGATTAATTTGAGAAAACGCAACTATTTTATATAATAGAATGAAATAGAATAAATAGCTGCAGAACAACATTATCTAACTCTTTAGAAACACAATATGAATATAGTTTTGATTAAATGCTCTTTTTTTTTTCGAAAGCGCTGATTTACAATATATTTGTCGAACAAAATGTATAGCAAATATGAAATAAAGTAGTTTGTTCCTGCATTCGGTATGAGAGATTGCAACGTTATCTATTCTAACACATGATTATTCTAAATCATGGCTTAAATCTGTCATCATTTTGTCTGAAACTACATTATAGATATGAACATAACTAATGAAAATTTAATGACGCATTTACATTTTTGACTTTGTGTTAGTTGCAAATACTTGAATAGATATTTTCCATGAGTCATCAATGCTGTCCTGGTCGATTCTCATCTGCAGAATCCTCAGTGAGTTGCGGAAAAAAATACGAAATCACTGGGAAAGTCCTATGGAGTCACGAAAGGGTGCGAGTATGCATGTGGATCTTCTATTTAACTTATGGTCTAATCCAAACCTAAATCCATACCCTAGTTATCCAAAAGAATAGAAAAAAGAATTCGTATGATCCGATAATTTAGAATCAGAATTCAAGATTTATAAACTATTCATTCACTTTTCACGATAGATAGATTTCAACAAAAAATCAACATTTCAATTGTCAATGAAGAAAAAATAGACAGATTCGAAAAACTAAACTTAATAAATACTGTGAAACTTTCAATTTGACATTGAAACAACGGATTGTCATTTTTTTTTCTATAACACGAACAATAACATTGAATAAATGTGCAGCTTCTGTTTTCCATTTTCTTTTTTCATCTATTTTGAAAACGATAAATGACTACTTAGATAGGACTTGACTTTCGCTCATAAGTTAACATTGTTACGCGAGGTAAAACTGCTGATAAATTGAATTTGTCAATCCCGAACTATCAAACGTTGATGAAGATCAATAGTAGACTTGATCCAAGAAATCGTATGTTTTTTATTGCAATCAGTATTGCTGTCAATCCATAGTTATTATCTATCTGTTTTCAAATGACCTCGAAAAAGACACTAAAAATCGGTAGTCAAAGCAATATTAATTAGCCTGTATCACAGTACCAATCGATTGAAATAAATTTTAGTGAAAAAATCAAACACTTTTAAACTGAAACGTTGAGCAGCTTCATTATTCTTGCTTTGATCAAACAATATATTTTTAACCGAAAGCTGATATTCATGCGTGTAATTCTTCGGATTATGCAATAGTCTAAACATGGAGCAACGAATCCCGATTTCATAAACATTTCGTAACGTGGAAATAATTGCCTACGTCTCCTCCTTGCAATTTGTGGAAAAATAGGTAGAAAGTGTGGACGTGGATGTGAGTTTTCCTTTCAATCATAATCACAATCACTCTCTACACTCAACTTCACTATTAATTAGAAGGTGTGGATGGGAGTGCATCTTATGCTTATTAATGGTACCGATGGTGTTTACAACAAAGTGGTTTCGCTATATAGACAAATAATTTTACTTTTGGTTTTTTTATATGCTACCAAAAGAGTACAGATAGTTGTGAATTAAAAAAAAGTCTATTTCATTTTTTTTTCTTGTGCAGTATAGTGTACTTTTACTTTATGAGGTAGAAATAAAGACATTTTCATCATTAATGAGAAAAATTAGACATTTCTTTATTTTGATATTATGAAAATAAGATTTGATTTATCTAAAAAAAATACACAACAGATATCGAATCATAGAACAGAAATTATTGCTCATAATACGAAATTAGAGATCATACAGCTGTAAAATAAATTTTCATGTTTTTTAAAAATTTATTTTTTTCTTTGATCTTTTAAACAAATAAATGAAATCTTATTTTTATTTTATAAAAATGAAGACAAATCTCACTTGCTTCTCTAACAATGAAGATTTTTCTAACGTTTTTATATATTTTAAAAAAATGTTAAGATAAAATGATAGCTGTAGTTCTCATCTTCATTCTTTTTTCAAATATTCATTATAATTATCTCTATTTTTTATTATTTAATTTTATATCTAAATAAAATAGATATATAATCGTTTCCTGATCACTGATTTGTCATGTATATAATGAAGTGTGGATATAGATTACTGCAATATAATACCGTAGCTATCAAAGAGTATTATAGATATTTTATCTAGTTTTTTAGAGCAAACTATTGATGATACTGTTATTCAATTTTCCCTTAAGAATAGTGTGAGAACATGAATATAAAAACTATTTGGTGTATTCTATGGTAGAATTGATTGGTTATTGAATTTAAATAAAAAACAAATTTTGGCATCAGTAATGATCATTTATGTGTACTTTTATTGGCTTTACGCGATACTAAATTGTTAAATTAACAGAAAGAAAAAAAAAATCACTGAATTAAGAATTCATCATGCGTTTTCAAACAAAAAAATGTGAACCTTTCCGTTTCTATGTACAAATGCGTTAATGGTACATAAGGAGGCGAAGAGAAAAAGCTTCTAAACGTCATGAAAAGAAAATGAAATATGGCACAATGCATGAAATTATGTTGCAAAGAATTCTTTTTTTCATTCGTTCGTTTTCTTGTGAAACCAAAGACGACAACAGATAAAGCAAAAAGAAAAAAGTCAAACGACAACAATAATCAAAAACAAATAGAAATATCAAGACAAGTCACTTTCTTTCATTGATCAAACAGAATACATACCATGGACAAAAAGAAAAAGCCGGTAACAACAACTGATGTTGCTGTCACGCCAACTGACAACACAAACATAAGACAACAACGATCTTCTTATGTTCGTATGGTTCAAAACTTTTTGCTCGTCTGGCTAGATAAAAATATCAATCCAGAAAACAACAACGATTGCAGGCATACTATTTTAAAATTCAAAGAAGTAGTCAACGAGATCAATACATTCATGGATATCAATGAATGTATCAATTTTGTCACTGGTCTCAAACAAGAAAAAATGTTTATGATTACTTCTAGTACATTGGGACAAACTACAGTTCCTATCGTACATGACATGCCTCAACTCAGCAGAATTTATATTTTTTGTGAGAAAAAAGCTCCACATGAAGAATGGATCAAAAATTGGTCAAAAATAAAAGGAATCTTTACAGATATTGCTCCTCTATGTAAAGCTCTTCAGCAAGCGGCACAAGAATGTGACCAAAATATGATTTCGATCAGTTTTGTACCAAGCAGTAGTGAAAGTAGTAAGCCAAATCTCAACAAATTCGATTCTTCATTTATGTACACTCAAATAATAAAAGAAATTTTATTAAGTATTAATTTCGAACAACATCATATCAATGAATTTACTATTTATTGTCGTCAATTATTCGCTGCGAATCCAAAAGAACTGCAAAATGTGGAGAAATTTGAACAAGAATACTATAAGCATCTCCCGATTTGGTGGTATACTTACCCATGCTTTCTTTATTCGATGCTGAATAGATCATTAGGAATGATGGAGGTCAATCTCATTATACGCATGGGACTTTTCATCCGACATCTGTATAACCACATTGCCAAGCTGCATGAAGAACAATATGTTGGAAATGCAAAAATGGAACCGCTTACTGTCTTTCGTGGTCAAGGAATATCGAAGACCGACTTTAATCGAATGCTACAGGCACAAAGTGGACTGTTATCATTTAATAATTTTCTATCCACTGGTATGCACCGTCAAGTAGCTCTTAATTTTGCTCGTGAAACGATGGAATCATCCGATCTTGTTGGTATTTTATTCGTCATGAAAATCGATCCGTCCATCGCATCAGTACCGTTTGCAGACATCCATGGTACCAGCTATTTCGAAGAAAGAGATCAAATTCTCTTCGCCATGCATTCCATCTTTCGCATTGGACCAATGGAACAAATTGATGGAAATAATCGTCTTTGGCAAGTCAATTTAACATTGACTAGTGAGAACGATCCAGATGTGCAAGCACTTACTGAAGAAATACGCAAAAATACTTATCCCCATCTTCAAGGATGGGATCGTTTGGGTAAAATACTCATTAAACTAGAACAACTCAACAAAGCCCAAGAGGTGTATAATATTTTGCTTGATCAAGCGTTGACTGATCATGAAAAATCGTTCATTTATCATATGCTTGGGATGGTCAAGCGCAGTCAAGGTGAATATGCAGATGCCATTGCCTGTTATCAACAATCCATTGAACTTAAACAGAAGATTCTCTCACCAACAGATGCTAATTTGGCTGCTTCTTACAACAACATTGGTTCGGCGTATGACAAGATGGGTGACTATTCAAATGCACTTTCATCTCATCAAAAAGCACTGGAAATCTGCCAAAAAAATCTTCCTATCAACAATTTAAATTTAGTGACTATATACAACAACATTGCTTCCGTGTATAACAAGATTGGTGACTATCCGAGTGCACTGTCATCTCAACAACAAGCACTAGAAATTCGCCAAAAAACACTTCCGTCAAATCATCCCGATTTGGCTACTTCCTACAGCAACATTGGTTCGGTGTATTACAATATGGGTGACTATTCGAATGCACTTCCATCTCATCAGAAAGCACTCGAAATTCGCGAAAAAATACTATCTTTAAATCATCCTGATTTGGCTGCTTCTTACAACAATGTTGCTTCTGTGTACAACAAGATGGGTGACTATTCGAATGCACTTTCATACCATCAAAAAGCATTGAAGATTCGCCAAAAAGCACTTCCTTCAAATCATCCCGATTTGGCTACTTCTTACAACAACATTGGTTCAGCATATTCGAGCATCGGTGACTATTCGAATGCACTTGCATGTCATCAAAAAGCGCTGGAAATACGTCTAAAAACTCTTCCTTCAAATCATTCTTATTTAGCTCGATCTTACACCAATATTGGTTTGGTCTATGATAGCATGATTGACTATCCAAATGCACTCTCATGTCATCAAAAAGCACTCGAAATACACCAAAAAACTCTTCGTTCAGATAATCCTGATTTGTCTGCTTCTCACAATAACATTGGTTTGATGTATAACAACATGGGTGACTATTCGAATGCACTATCAAATTATAAAAAAGCATGTCAAATCTTAAAAAAAACTCTTCCTTTAAATCATCCTCATTTGGCTCGATCTTATAGCAATACGGCATTGGTTTATAACAACATGAAGGACCATGCAAATGCACTTTCATACTATAAAAAAGCATTGAAAGCCTGGCAAAAGACTCTTCCTTTAAATCATTCTCAGTTAGCTCGAACTTACGACAATATCGCTTCTATGTTTGACAACATTGGTGACTATTTGAATGCAGTTTTGTTTCATCAAAAAGTACTAGAAATCTACCAAAATACTCTTCCTTCGAATCATCCTGATTTGGCCACTTCTTACAACAATATTGGTTTGATGTATAACAAGATAAGCGACTATTCCAATGCACTTTCATCTCATGAAAAAGCACTGGAAATTTGCCAAAATACGCTTCCAACAAATCATCCTGACTTGGCCACTTCTTACAACAACATTGCTTCGGTGTATGACAGTATGGGTGACTATTCGAATGCACTTTCGTATCAACAAAAAGCATTGGAAATCTATCAAAATAGTCTTCCTTCAAATCATTCTCATCTGGCTGCTTCTTACAACAACATTGGTTTAATGTATAATAGCATGGGTGACTATTCGAGTGCATTTTCATATCAACAAAAAGCATTGGAAATCTATCAAAATAGTCTTCCTTCAAATCACTCTCATCTGGCTACTACTTACAACAACATTGGTTTGGTGTATGACAACATGGGTGACTATTCTAATGCACTTTCATCTCATGAAAAAGCATTGGAAATCTATCAAAATAGTCTTCCTTCAAATCATCCTGATTTGGCTACTTCTCACAACAACATTGGTTCGGTGTATGATAACATGGGTGACTGTTCGAATGCGCTATCATACTATAAAAAAGCACTGAAAATCTGGCAAAAAACGCTTCCTGCAAATCATCCTCATTTAGCTCGATCTTACAACAACATTGGTTCAGTGTATGACAACATGAATGACTATTCGAATGCACTATCGTCTCATCAAAAAGCAATCGAGATCTATCAAAAAACTCTTCCTTCGAATCATCCTGATTTAGCTACCTCTTTCAACAATATAGGTTCGGTGTATGAAAAGATGGGTGACTATTCGAAAGCACTTTCATACTATGAGAAAGATCTTGAGATCTGCGAAAAAACTCTTTCTTCGAGTCATCCTGATTTCGCTCCTACTTATGGACATATTGGAATGACATATTCTAAGACTGGAGAGCATTCAAAAGCTGTCTTATATTGTGAGCGAGCTCTTAGAATACTAGAAAGTTCACTACCTGCAAGTCATCCACATATTCAATTATATGGAAATAACCTCGAATATGTTCGAAAGCAAATGTAATTGATTTTTATTTTGTTGAAATATAATTGAAACAGAAATAGTAATTTAAGTATACATAGAATTAAGTCATTCAATTGATGAAGAAGAAAAATAAGGGGCGAAATACATTGAAAATAATCACTTTAAAAAGAAGCGGAGAAGAAAGCTTTTTTCTTATATTTTGTTTTGAAGAGAAATTCATGTTTGAATGGTTTGTTTATTCATACATAGACGAATACGCCTATTAAATAATTATTTAACGTAAGAGAAAAAAAAGTAATCAACAATCACTACAAACGATTTGAATCTCGCTGTTGTGTGTTGTTCATTCGAATAGTATTTGTTGGAGAAATAAAATAAAATAAGTTTGAATTCAAAGATTGATGCATCAATCCATCCAACAATGAACATTAATGAGAAAAGTGTTAAATAATAAGCATATTGATTTATTTTTTTTCTTGCTATGATCGAAATTTTAGAATTTCAAAATTGTATTTCAATTTGTTTTTTTTTTGCACGAAAGCGAAACTTCATGGTTTTGTTTTCTTTTCTTTTGTACTGTCCATATGAAAGTTCAAGAATGACTTTTTATCTTCTAGAAGAACTCTAAGGCGTCTTATGAATAACATTTTCAATGTTTATGAGAACTAATTAGTTCGTAACTTGTTGAAATTTCCACTATGTGAAACTTTGAAGCATATATGCCGATCGACTATGAAATGAAGCGAAAGTTTATGAGTATCATCTAATCAAAATGACTTGCTCAATTTCTAACTTCATGTTTGAAACTAAAGTCATGTTCTTGCAAAACTCTCTAATCTCTTCTTCCAGTAAATTTTATGGTAAGTCTGTTTTGGATAACTAAAAATAAAAATCTCTTAAATATTAATTGTGACTCATAAAACTCTTAAGTTAAGTATCCAGAAAAGATAACAAAGTCCAGTATGATGTGATCTGATTAATATTTGTTCTTTTTATCTTGAATGATTAGCTACACTGTGTAGAATTCTATCCTCGACTTCTTTTCTCGTCAATATATTTAAATAAAATTTTATCATGAATATTTTCATCAGCATTTGGAAATATTCGACGAAGACATTTTTTCCAAGTGAACTAGATTCGTCAGCTGCATCAAATCAACTGTACAAAAACAGCCTGGTTAGAACCAAGAAAGATTTTATTTATTGGTTGATGAACAATATATTCGAATAATTCTTCTGGAGTATAACGCTACTAAATATTTGAGAGATCTTTAAAATTGATTGAAATCAACGCTTATAAGAAAAAAAACTTCATTGAAAATAGAACGATGAATCAACTGACTAGTTAAGGCAGTACTTCGTGAGTTTTTTCTTCCTTTTTGCTCTCAAAGTAGGTATTAAAAGTTGTAAAAGACAAGTTTTTGTAGAACTTGTTTCTTTCAAGTATTGAGATTATTGCAACAAAGACAGCGACAAGAGTTAACTCATTCTCCCTTTGCTTATAGCTAAGACAACTGATAATTGATAATGAGTCAGAGAGAGAATCAAATGATCAATCAAAAACATTTATTAACAATCAACATTCGAAATTTCGCACTACATTTCACAGTCACGTGAAAACCGAATACCATCGAGTTTCTCTTATGTGACAAATTCATACATAAAATCTCTTCTGAAACTGTATTAATTGACAAACTTAATGAATTATTATTATATTGTCTTGTATAAAATAGTCTGAAATACTACTTTTATTTATTGAAAACAAAACATAATTATAATCACGTCTAGCTGAAATATTCATACAAAAAAATATTGAATTAATTTATCATTTTTTTTCTTCGTTTTTGTTTTCTCGTTTGTTTCTTATTTGAACTATTTCTTCTGCACTAGTTGGATGTATACCAATTGAATGATCAAATAATTCTTTTGTTGCACCAGCACGTATTGCAACTGAACACATTTGAATAATTTCTGGTGCTGAATGATCCATCAAATGAATACCAACAACACGTTGTTGATCATTCTTTTCAACAATTAATTTTACATATGATTTTCTATCACGTTTTGGTAATTGTACAAACATTGGTTTAAACGTTGATTCATATACATCATATCCATCAGGTCCATATTTTTCTCTTGCTTCTTGTTCAGTTAAACCACATGTACCAATAGCTGGTTCACTAAATACAGTTGTACCTACTGTACCGTAATCAACTTTTCGTGGTTGTTCATTATTAAAAAGCATATTTGCTAAATAATGACCTTCTTGTATAGCTACAGGTGTTAAAGCTTTACGACCTGTACAATCACCTACCTATGATAAAAATTTTAAAAAAATTTCATAAATAATCTATTAAAAATATACCGCATAGATATTGGAAATATTTGTTTGTGAATAATCGTCAACTTCAATTATACCTTTTTGATCGAATTTAATACCAATTTTATCTAATCCTATGTTTTGTGTATTAGGTTGACGACCAATCGCAAACATAACAAGATTTGTATTTATTGTTGTTGTATCATTTTTAATTCTAACACGATATGAACCATCAGATAATTTTGCTACATGTTCAACTTCAGTTTCATATCGAAAATGAATACCATTCTTTTTAAGTTCTTCAGTCAATTTTGCTTGAATATCTTAAATAAATCAAAAATCAGAAAATACAATTCTTAAGGTTTTACAATTTGACTTATGTCATTTAAAAAATCAATGATTTTTCTGTGTAATCTCTTGCGTTTTAGTTTTTCTTGTAAGACAAATGATTACATCTCCTCGACAGAGTTGTTCAAGAGCAAATTTTTTAAAGTCCCGGTCCCGTTAACTTCTTTCCTAGTATGTGGTTCGAAGACACCCGAAAATCTCACAGCACGAGTACACATTAAGTTTCGAATTCTTGAGGAATCCGAACACGTGTCATAGACTTGAATAATTTAATTATATATTTTCAAACCTTCATCAAAGGATCTTAAAATTGTCTTTCCACGTAAAATTAATGTTACATTACAACCAAATCCATTAAAAATACAAGCAAATTCTGTTGCGATATAACCACCACCTAAACATCAAAATTTTCTAATTAATCAAAACAAAAATATTTTATCATACGAAAAAAAAATCTTACCAACAATAATAATATTCTTAGGTAATTTTTCAAGAAAAAAAGCATCATCTGATGTAATTATATGTTCACGTCCTTCAATTTTCGGTACTACCGGATAACCTAAAATCAATAAATTTTATTTATTAATCCAAAATAGAACAAAAAAAACCAAACCTCCAACAGCAAGAAGTATATATTTTGATTTATATTCTTTATTATTAACAACAACAGTATGTTGATCTTTTAATGTTGCATGTCCTTTGATTATTTCAACATTATTATCTTTTTGAGTTTTTTCATATGCATTATTAAGACGTTGAATTTCAGCATTTTTATTTTCTATAAATTGTTTCCAATTATGATCATTATAATTCATATCAATTTTTGGCCATCCATAACCATGTGCATCATGAAATAATTCCCGATAATGTGATGCATAACAAAATAATTTTTTTGGTACACAACCAACATTAACACAAGTACCACCTAAGATATCAAATAGAAAAAAATAAATAAATAAATAATTTCAATTCGAACGAATTTTTTTTACCTAATTTTTTATCTTCAGCTAAAGCAACACGAGCACCATGTTGAGCAGCTATGCGACTTGAACGTACACCTCCTGATCCACCTCCAATTACAAAATAATCATAATCATATTTTGAGTCAGTTTTTTCACTAGTTTTAGACATGACTGAACGAGAATAAAATCGGATTTGTAAAGCGCTAAGAGAAATACGACATAATTTATACGAATTATCAACAGATTGACGCAGAAAAAATGCACGAGAATAATAGCCCAGCATATTTCAAAAATGACTCATCAAAGTTCTTTTTCTTTTCTTATAGATCCACTCGTTCTACTCGAACTACCAATCAGTCAAACTATAGTTATATATATGTTATAAGCTTCAAACTTATAAAAAAACAAGCAATTTGTTTTTGATGAGTCGTTATTCGTCAACGGATGAACCTATAGAAATGACGACTACTTCTTACTTACTAACTAACTGGTTATTTATATTGTTTGACTTTGAAGGTACATTCGAATGAATCATTCGAAAAATCTATACAATATTTTTTATTACTATATTTTCCTCTCATGTAAAACTTGAAAAAGCAAAAAAATAAATTTTCGTCAATACAAAATTTTAAACATTTTGGTTTCCAACTATAAACAGTAAATTAGTATCTGTCGAAAAATATAATGACTGTAGATATTTTTTGCAATAACTTAAGAATGAAAAGAGCTAGAGAGATATGGTTTTCATGATTCAAGAGAGAAGACCTGAGATGATCATCAAGGTATATCGAAATTTGATTGGTCAATAATTCGAGAGTTATCGTATTGAGTCAAATAATAATATTTTTTTCTAAGTTCGGGCTAATTTGACACTTATCTCTATATTCCTGAAATATCGATTCGTTCGTTACATGGAGAATGATTGTGAAAGTTCAAAAATATTGAGATAGCACAAGTCGAACCATTTGGAACTTACAAACCAATGTGAACATTCGACTTGACACTGTTCATTATTCTTGTTCAGCTATTTTTCCGATTGATCACAGATCTCAGAAAAAGGCTCATACTTATTTTATTGCAAAAAAACACCTACGACCATTATAATTTTGGACTGACATTATACTTATTGATAGATATATTGAAAAGCTTTGATATTTTTTCTCAGAAAAATTATTTACAAAAATATTACATAAAAAGTATAAATAAATTTTCGAAGCACCTAGAAAATGAAACTAATTAACAATATAGAATGATAGAGTAAAAAGAATTCTTTTCACAATATGATATTTAAAACTCAAAAGCGTCTCATATATATTAGAACATTGTTTGCGCTATCATTCTATATAGACTGAAAAAAAAATCAAAGTTCTACGCTCTCGGCGCTAGACAACATTTTCTTTTAGTTTGTTTCCTAGAGATATCACTTTTGAAACTTGAATTATAATTTTAAATTGAAGAAAGAATTCGAAAATAAATCTTGTTAATTAAATTTTGATCACCACTGCATATACACATACATAACAAAAGAAAGATTGATTTTACTCTTTCATTTTTATGTGCTACATTGCAAAGATAATTGAATATATATCAACATATTGAAATCTATCTTGAAAATTGACATGAGATCTTATAGACCGTAAAGTTCAATCTTAGTATATTTTCAAATAGTGAAAAAAAATACAAGAAAACAATGAATATTTTTTGAACATTAAATTGAACTTCAATCAAAATTGACAAAAATAGTTTTGAGAGAATATTTCAATTGACAATAAACTTATCCTTCAACTCTTGTACATTTCTTATAATTAATTAATTAATTTTTTATTCCCTCATTATATCCAATAACAAAGCATGAATAACATAAAAATTTGTCATCAAGAAAAATATAAATTTTCTCGTTATTATCAGTGTGAAATTTCAATTAACAAATACAGACAAAAGAAAGGACATCGAGATTTTTTGCAAACAGAAAAAAGAACAGGTAAGAAAGATTTCGATCATGCATGACGAAATAAACTGACATGAGAAAATGGTCCAGGAGATTTTGTTATAACATCAGGTGTTGTTTGTTGTTTATTAACATGAGTTAATACATTTTTTAATTCACCACAAGCAGCCTGTAATAAAAAAAAAAAAAGAAACAATAAACCATGAAAAATTTATAAATCTATTCTATACCCAAATAAGTCCTAAATATGGAGCTGAAGGTTTCAATGGACGTGATATATATTCTGGATGATATTGAACAGCAACAAAATATGGATGATTTTCAAGTTCAACTATTTCCATTCGTTGATTATCATCACTTCTTCCAACAAATTTCATTCCGGCTTTTTCAAATTGTTCAATATATTCTGGATTAACTTCATATCGATGACGATGACGTTCATCAATTGAATCAACATCTCCATAGAGTTTTTCTATAGAATTAATCATGATTATATATAGTTTATTAAATACTGACAATAAATATACATACTAAGAACACTATTATCTGTTACAAAATAAGTTGTTCGACGTCCTAATCTCATTGTACCTTTCAAATAATAGAAGAATTTCGATGATAAAAAAGAAAACAAACATTTATTTACCTCCCATAATTCCTGGGTTATGTTCGGGCATTTCAATAACCTATAAAAAAATATTTAAAAATTATTCAAAACAAAAAGAATAATTAAAGCTTACGACTTGATGTTCAACTTTATCGAATTCGGCTGAATTTGCACGTTTATATAGTAAAACATGTCTTGCAAATTCAATAACAGCACATTGTAAGCCGAGACAAATACCAAGAAATGGTTTAGATTTTGTTCGTGCCCATTCAATAGCGGCAATTTTACCTTCAACACCACGCGAACCGAATCCACCTGGTACAAGGACACCACTGAAACGAAACAATTAAAAAAAAAACCCACCAAAGTTACAAATAAATTTTATATAATTATACTCATTCACTGTGAACTACAAAGTTGTTGCCATGCTTCATGATATTTAACTGGATCTTCTTTTTTTGTATTTGCTTCTAAATCTGCTGCATGGACAAACTAAGAGTTAATATATGAATATATATATATATATTGATAAGAATTCATATTCTTACTCGTATATTTAATTTTCGATTGCAAAAAAGTGCAGCATGATTAAGTGCTTTTAGTACAGATGCATAAGCATCTTCTAACGCTGTATACTTTCCAACAAGAGCAATTACTACTTCGTCCAATTGTCGTTCACTTCTAATTGATGATAGAAAACAAAAATTATCAATGGTAGAATCGTCTATCAACATTCAAGGTTGAACAGCAGTAATAGGTTATTTTCGCTCTATTCATCACGCATCATAGCATATCTCAGGTTGCCATATATAGACTTATTCTTCCGATTCTGTTCTTATTTTTTAGAGCAAAAAGGTAGATGGTATCCATGTAATTTTTCATTAATATTTATTCAAGATTTGACTTCATTTCTACGCAGTATGTTGAATGAAAATGCCAATTTTAATTATAATCCATATAACTATGGTCAATTGAATGCATATACTGTATCAGGATCTAATCAAGTTGGTAAAGGAAATAAAACCTCATTTATCATTGCCGGTGCTCTTGCAACTATTATTCTTATTGGTATGGCTTTAGGATTAGGTCTCGGTATTGGCGCAGTAGGTCTTATTACCAATGCACAATTAGTTAATGTTACCAATGTTACTAATGCAACTACTGGACGTTAGATTATAAATTAATTTTTATGTATATATTGCTGTATTTCTTATTTCGTTAGGATTATTTTCTTTTAAAAATTTACCTTTCAATTAAGTCTCGCCATTTAATCATTAATGATTGATCATAGTTAAATTTATGCGTTAAATTAAGACGCGTGGATAGAAAATGGAACACACCATTTTCTTGAAGTAATAAAGGAACACGATAAAGTGTTTTTACGTCCGGCATACAAATGACCTTCAATAAAAGACGAAAACAAAAAGACTATTAATAAAATAAAGAAAAAGATTCCAATTTTTTTACATGATCTTTTTCTACTTGACAAAACATTGAAACTTTTTCTTTTGATGATAATGTCATTTGTGTTGCTGATCGACAAATAATCTTTAAATAAATTAAAAAAATTCTTTTTTTATTTATACAAAAAAAAGAAAATTAATGTTTACTAACAAGATCAGGTGATAAACCATAACCACGAAGTTCTTTTACACTATGTTGTGTTGGCTTTGTTTTATGTTCTTGTGTTGCATTTGGCTATAAAAATATAAAAAAGAAACATAATCTATACAAAAAGAAAGTCAAATTCATTCAAATACAAACTTGTGGAACAAGACTGACATGTACAACACAAAAATTATCTCTTTTCACACGAAATTGAAATTGTCGAAAGGCTTCAACAAATGACATACTTTCAATATCACCTATAGTACCACCAAGCTACAAGAAAACATCTCGCTAAAATGTGTAGAAAATTCTTCTATTTTTACTTCAATAATACAAATATCTGGTTCAGCTGTATCCTTATCAACAGATATACGTGCAACACGTTCAACCCATTCTTGAATAGCATCTGTTATATGTGGTACAACTATAAATCATAATGAAAAGAAAAATTTAAATTAGAATAATTAAAAATATGTTATTTATTTAACCTTGTACAGTCTTTCCAAGATAATCTCCACGACGTTCTTTATCAATAACATATTGATAAATTTTGCCCGTTGTTATATTATTATCACGATGCAATGTAATATCGAGAAATCGTTCATAATTACCCAAATCCAAATCAACTTCTCTATAATTACAAAATATATGATAAACTATATGATGAAAATTTTAATCATTGATTAAGATTCTTCGTAATGCTTTATTGCCTCTAGCTAAACCTGACGGTTATAGTATAGATGTACAACTGTAAAATGGTTCAAATACGTACATCAGAGTTATGACCATCTTAGTAAGTTTTCGTTTTTTTTTGGTCTAACTATTTATAGAAACCTTACTGACGAAATTTTTATTTCATGAATACTTTGTCCAGAGACTGGAAACTTACTAAAATGTTTATAACTCTAATGCATGAATGTGTTTTCTTAGTTTCATTAATTCTTACTACTAAGCAAAATATGCATTCGAACGGCTTTCGATAGTTGAATATATTTCCTCGTAAGATGTAACCATGAAATAAAAAAACTGGCAAATAATATTTTTTCTATTTAAAATCTACAATCAAACATTGCAATGCTTTGTATAAGACTTAATTTATATGTTAATAATAGGGTTAAACATAAGATTATCAGAATTCTTCAAAGTAAATATTGATTATTTTTGTAAAATCTACTTACCCACCATCATCAAGTACAAATACTTCTCCATGTTCATATGGTGAAAATGTACCTGCATCAATATTAATATATGGATCAATCTAAAACAAACTCAGAAATTTCAATAATCAATAACTTAAATCATTTTTTTTTCAATTACTTTAATTGATGTTACACGAAATCCTTGTGAACAAAGTATTGTACCAATGCTTGATGAAATAATACCTTTACCAATACCACTAATAACACCACCAGTTACTAAAATATATTTCATTAATATTAATAATTACGATAACCAACTATATTCTAGAAAAAAGAATAATCCAAGATACAAATTAAGTATTATATCTTATCAGTCTTTTAATAAAAAAAAACTATTTTTAATAAAAATATTAAATGATGAATAAAAATGAAATTATCAATACTATAAAAATATCATTATGCTAAAAAAAACAGAAAATTAAAATTTTCTTTCTTGTTTAAAATATTCTGTTTACGTCAGCAAACGAATATATTATTTTCAGGCTTGTTCATTATTATTTTGAATTCCTTTCCAAACGCTTAAAACAGATTTTTGAAGTGCACATTCATAACAAAACGATAATGTCCATGGCTTATATAATTCAATACGATTAATAGCATTTAAATAAAGTATTGAATTTTCTTCATTATGTTCATCTTAACAAAAAATAAAATTATTTTATTTTTACTATACAATTTAATTTTACTAAATAGAAATATTATTCCAGGTACAGCAGTTGGTACTGTACGACGAAGTGTAATCACTGTTGCTTTTGCTATTTGTTCAGTTGAATAAATTTTCGAGCAATTTTTACCTAAATAACTTCTTCTTATATCAGTAATTCATAAGAAAAATAATTATTATTTATTTTACCGGGAGAAACTATATTTAATTTAAGAAGTGTACCTTCCAGATAAATATGATAATCATTTAACGATTTGTAAATAGTTGCTAATATTTTTTCTGTTATACGTTGACATTCTTCTAGATCATGATCATCTTCTGATGATACTTCTGATTCAATAATTGGCACAAGACCATGCTGAAAACAAAAACATAAAACCAAAATAGTACTAATTAATAATATAGGGTTCTTTTTTTCTAATTTCAATATTAACCTGTTGACATATTGAAGCATATCGTGCAAGTTTTGAAGCATTATCATCAATAGCTAATTGTGATGGACAATTTTGACCTATTTTAAACAAAGCACGCCATTTAGCAAATTGTGCACCGAGTTTTTTATATCCACGACAGCGTTCATCAAGATTATCTAAACCTAAAGTTAAAATATAACATACATAATTATATATATATATATCATATTATTTATATTAACAAACCTTGTGTTGTTGTTTCACGATCAGTGCCAGCTAATATAATTAATCCTCTATCAACTGTAATACCTGGTATGATACCAATTTGTGTTAATAAATGTGGAAACAATGCATCACTATCATCCGTTTTATGATAGAGTGCTTCATTACAAAGTATAATAGCACTTATATGCTGTTGACATTCTTGAGTTTTCAATAATAATTGACTATAATAACGACAGTTTTCTTCATTATTTTCAATATTTATCGATGGAAAACGAGATCCAATAAGACCTGAAGAAGAAAAAGGAAATTTTATTTGTTTTCAAAAATAAAAGGTTAAGTAGACCTGCAGATTCATCAGCTGCTAAAATGCTTTTACCAGGTGTAGCTATAGTTTGAGCTATTTGAGCTAATTCAGTTTGTGTGTCTTTCGCTAAATAATAGGCAACCATCATTAAAAAATATCACAGCCTCGAGAAGAACAAAACATGTATTTTTTATTTTATTTCGATAATATACTCTTTTATGACACTGTACAACGAATTATTTTTAAGTGCATTGTGATCATGATAAGATAATGATTGAAATTTATATAGAGAGAATGATAGAACGACGAAGAGAAAAATATCGTAATAAATACTAGCAACTTGCTATGGGCGCACCTTTAAATTTCGTACTTGAAGACCTTGACAAAGTTTTATATCTAACCAAAGTTGAAGACTACATTTCAAACGAAGAATTTAGTAAAAAGTATTTTACAAATAAAAGTTCTTGTTTTTATTTTTCATTATAATTAGAGAATGACAATATTTTAATGAAAAAACATGTTTATACCTACCAAATGAACCTTACAAAATAAGAGGTAACTGCATTGCTTGTTAATCTTTGTGATTCATCGATCATGTAGATTTATATGCTTTCTGTTTTTTTTTTATGTATGCTGTTACTTTTCAAAAAATGTATAACGAATTGACAAGATTACATATTTGACATATCTTTCATCCAAAAATACTGAATACTTTGCCTTTTATAACAAAAATAATAGATAAGAAGAGTATAAATGTATTCATCCTCAATGTACATCCTGATCTATATTCATGAAAAGAAAAGAAGCAACCGCTTTCATTGTAATATTTTTTCATTCCTCAGAATTCAATTATAAATTCGACATGGGAACATAATTTTGCATGATGATAATATTATTATAAATGATTAAATATAAATTCATAACTTACTTTAGTAAAGATGTACCAATATTAATCATGAAGTATTATTTCAAATTGTTACATTGTAAACAAACTAGAAGAAAATATTTCATGGGCAATGAAGATCATCGTTGGTGTTCTCTAAAATTAATTCAATCTTTTATGTAAATAGTTTGATGTTCAAAATCAAATTGTCCAGCATAGTTAACGATGATAAGAATAATTGACAGAAGCCTGTTTTTCTCTCATTTACTATTATGTTTACTGGACTTATAAAACAATGTCATCGATGTGACGAACTGAAGGAGTAACTCCATCATTACTCTCGACAATGACTTTTATAGAGCTATTTCATCACTCCGATCGAATCTATATGAGTACAATGACACGCTTATCTACTAATTACACATGAGGAGAGAAGGAGAAACGCGTCTCGTCAAGGTCAACACTATGAAGAAGAAGTCGTATTGAGAAAGGAAGAGAAGTGAAGTGTAACGTTCTTTGAACGTTACAATCATATCTATTACCTGAGTATTCATCAGCTATTTATAAAAACATGCAATATATTACATGAAAAGCGTTTATTACAGACACACGCAATGAGAGCACGACAAATATTGTCTCTTGCTTCTTTTTTTTTGTTGGCTAATACTTTTTGTCGTATTCATTCGGTTCTTTAATCCTCTGATGACAGACTTATTGGTGTAAAAAGAAAAAAGAAAATAGAAATTTGTTATCAAAATTTTTCATTGACATTATTATTCAATATAGACTTACACTACAAAATACCACGAATGAATAGTAAGAACGTGACTTAACATGCCTACAAATTTGATCTGTTATTCAAATTTCAGCATAGCAAAACTCGTAAGGACAATCATTAAAAACTGTATTAAAAGCTAAAATGCAATAAAGTTACTAGTTCGCACTTTTTTTTTGTTCTCTTTTCTTCAATCTAAAACCAAATTATCTGATCATAAAACATACATTGAAAAGAACGATGTTTTTTTTCAAAGGAAAACGTTTTTGTTAACTTCAACAATCTCCATAGATCTCTATTCAATGAAGAGAATTTCAGTAGAAATTTTTTCAACGAAGTACATATTAACCTGTGTAGACTTTAAAAAAGCATACGATGCGTGCGAAACACGGTCGGAAATATGAAATATAATATTTTTTTTTTCGTTCGTTCTGTTCCATTATCGAGCACTCGAATACTATATCCTATTAGATATTCATTTTCGACATCTTAGCAATCATTGAAGTTTTGAATACTCAGCGAGACGAAACCTATCGAGGTTCGGATTATTTAATTAGAAACAAGATTAGTGCAATAATAGCTTCGACTGCTGAGTCTAATTGTGATTAATTGAAGAAAATGGCTTCCATAATAGAAAGATAATCGTTCATATTTAGTGTAGGTATTAGAATCTCCTGATCAACCGATATCTGATAGCTTTCAAAGATTCGAAAATGACAGAACTCGACCTATGGAAAGCTGACATTCAAGTGTCGAAATATTTATCGAATGGCCCAAAATAATGTTAACCTTCTTACAAATTCTTTAAAAACAATTAAAAATCATATGTTTCTAAGAAAAAGATTATTCAATAGAAATTTCATTTATTTAAAAAAACAAAAACATTAAAAATATTGGAGCTGAAATAAAATAATTATGGATAATATTCAAAAGGAATTAAAATCGTCGAACAATCTCAATATATTTTTTATTTCTTTTGTTGAGTTGGCAAAGGTAATCCAGCATTGAGTCTTGGTGCATCACCTAATACTGACCAATCCATATCTTTCAATCCATTTCCAATTGTTGAAACACATTGTTCTCTCATAACACTACAAAATGGAAGAGGAACACCAACTTGATCACCAGTAGTTAACATTGCATTTATATCTTTTAAACCTCCTTCAATTCCAAATCCTTCTCCGATTGGTCTATCATAATTTCGATCTCGTACACGTGCTTCATAAGCTAATAAACTTGGATGTGAATAAAAAATACCAAGTAATTGATGAGTTATATCATGATCAATATCCCAACGTTCATTAAATGCATATATTTGACCAAATAGAGAAATATTTGCAGCAAGAATCATATTTGCTGTTAATTTTACAACACTTGCTTGTGCTGGATTATTACCAACAATATTTATTGAACCACCAGAATATGCTTCAATTACAGATCGAGCACGTTCAATTGCTTCAAGATTACCACCTAAGAAACTTTTTAATTTTCCGAGAGCAGCAACATCTGGACGACCAAAAACCTAATAATAGAAGAATAAAGCTTCAAACAACTCCTATATCGAATAATACACACCGGTCCTGAAATATAATAAGCTTCATGTTGTTTATGTAATGTTTCAAGTTGACTAGCAGCCTGCGGACTGATTGTTGTAGTATTGACATGTACTGCATTTTTTGGAATGCTCATTAAATATCCATTTTCTCCTAAAACTTCGAATTCACTATAGAATATTTTTAAAGGTAAAACTCAAGCTAATAACCTTGAGCAGCGTCTAAACATGATTTATCATCAAATAAACAACTAATAATAACATCAGCATTTATAACAGCTTCGCGAGGAGTTGCTGCTAGATTTGCACCAGCACTTACTAAATCCTAAGAGGAAATAAATTATTTTTACTCTCACTTTATACCTATTAGTTTAATATATCTACATTTGCTTTCGAAGTTGTACGATTCCAAACAACAAGTTGAAAACCTTTGTTGAGAATATTTTTTGCCATTGCATTACCCATATTACCCAGACCAAGAAAACTAACTTTCAATTGTGATGAAGCCATTTCAATAATCTAAAAATTATCAATGATCTTATAATATCATAACTTGATTTACGAATAACAAAATGAGATCGATTCGGTTCCAAAGAAAAAAACATCAGAATCTTAAATGATTTAGATCTATTGAACTTCAAGTTCAATTCGATACAAAAACTAAATATTAAACATTTAATAAAAATATCTTTCTTTCAAACAGTAAGAACATATATGCATATAAATTTATCAAAATTGTTTTATTTATATTTTATAGTAATCTGACAGCGAGTTGAAGCTTGACAGATTAAGTACTGTTAATTTTTAGACTTTGTTTTCAATTCATAGAGACATCTTCAAATGTATAAACTCTCTATGAGGCTTAGAAAGCTCATAAAGATGTCTTCTGAAATTAAAAGGAAAGATTCCTTAAATTTTTTTTTTCTCACTCCAGGATAATCTAACAGAGATTGCCCAATTGCGGAAGTGTCTGACAGCGCCTGCCAACCAAAAAGAAACTTGTTTTGCGAGTGGCGCCGAAAATTTTTTGCGTGTTCTCTTAGGAAAAAAAAATCCTTACACCTCCTTACTCTCTCGATGTTGGCTGCTTCGAGCTAACCCTGGAAACTACTTGTTGTTAAAGTGTGGAATTCAATAGTGTCTAGCAGCTGACGATGACTTTTTTTTACTAGATGCGAACAAAAAAACTGAATTTCTTTTTTTTTTAAATAAGTTGCTTGATGAATTAAATTCTCTTCCTCTTATTACTTCATTGGATATATTCTTGATCGAATTAGATGTCGGTTTTTTCTATGAGCGAGTTTTTTTTTTCTTAATTTAATAAGTTTGATTTTCATAGAAGTCTAAATAAATTGTTTAAACTAATAATTTATAAATCATTAATGTGTATTTAATTATCTGTAAAACTATTTAAAAAAAAGGTGGCGCTAAACGTTTTCTCATTATTTTTCTTGCCGTCGTTTAGGTCAAGAGAACTCACAAAGGAGGAAAAACCGACGTCATTTATTACTTTATTATCATTTCTATCTTGTCGAAGGTTTTTTCTGTGTATCATTGATTAAAACTAAAAATAGAAAAATGGGTTCTCAAATTAGCAAAATTGAAGATACTATTCATGATACTTACAAAAAAACTTGGCCACAAGCTTGGTAATTATCAAATTTTTTTTTCTTTGTTAATATAATATTATTTATCTATTCATATTTAGGTATTTAGCTCCACCATTTCTTACAGCACTTGGTGCGGTTGGTTATGTTGGTTATGCATTTGCACAAACAAAAGCTACACCATCATCATCGAATATTTCATTTTTACATTTACTTGGTGTTGCTGGTAAATATTTTCTTTTTTGTCTATTGTAAATTTTTCTTAATAATATGTTTTAGGTGGTTTTGGTATTAGTTTTTGGATAACTGCTGTACATGGTTAGATTTTAAGTGTATTTTTGATAATTGTTCATTATTGAATTTAAAAAAAATATAGGTCGTGCTGTTCAACGAATGTTAACACGTCATGAATTTGCTACTATTCAATCACATTTATCGACGGTCTATTTTGCTTCATCAACAGTTTTGGCTAGTCTTAGTTTGGGTACATTTTTACTTCGTCATCCATTTAGCACATGGTCAAAAGAAGCAACAAATTTAGTTCGTATTAAATAGACAAAAAAAAAACGAAATATTAATTTTTATTGATGAAGCAAAAAGAAAAAAACACTTTCTCTTTTTTTTCCTCTATTTGAATAGGGTGTTGCATTAATTGTTGCATTAGGTGCTGCTGAATTAAATTGTCTTGTATTTAATCCATTGGTTACTAATCTAATGTTTGATCGAAATAACATTGAATTTTTACAAGCTGCAAAAGTATGTTTTTTTTTTTTTTGTGTCTTACATTTTTATTGAACAAAATGTTTTCATTTTTGTTTCTATTTTATATAGACGAATGAAGATTTTGAACGATTATCACATGATGATCCAAAATATCGTATTGTTAATAATAAATTCAATTTGTTTCATTCCATGTCCATGGTATCAGGTCTTGTTTATCATGGTATTCAATGGTATCATCTCTTTTTTCTTGCTGACAAATGTTTAGTCCTTTAAAATAGATGAAAGTCAAATATAGAAAAAAAAAACTTTCTCCTTTCCTCATTTTGTTGTAAACATTTATATTTCTGTAGACGCTTTGCGTGATGATGTGTATCTTTAATCCTAGTAGTATATATTCAGTTTGTCATTCTTGTATCACTAGTCATTATTTGTCTTAAATACAAAAAAAGGCGAAAAAATTCAAATATTGTTTGTTTACAGATCAATGGAAATAAACTTATTTCATCAATTTAATACTGTTATATCAGAAGCAGTAGCGTCAATGTGGTTTGCAAAAAAGTTCATAATTAATTTGTAAAATTATATTTGTGCTTTAGGACAAAAAATTATGTCTAGTAAAAAATTTTCTTCGTCGAATGTACATTTATTTTTCAGCCTCTTAAAGAAGATCACGAAAATGGGAAAAGTTTGAGTTTGAATCAAAACTTTGTATTGTTTTTGAATACAGGATTTAACATTTCTCAAGGACTTCTGGTTTGAAATTGTTATGAATCAGCCATTTAGAGACGCGAAAATGAAATTTGAATGGATAAAATTGACGTTTTTTGCAGCAAGCATACATTATTCTACTAATGCTTTTTTTTGCTTAGAATCAAGGCTTTCGGAGAAATCACTTAGGAATGGCCGGTCTGACTTGCTAGTCTATTTTTCATAGAACTCGAAAAAAAAAACAAAAAACAGCATTTGTTTAAGAGGCTGAAACATGTACGAACATTTTCTCACATTACTTTTCGATAACATGTTATGCTAAATAATAATGGTTTCAAAAATATATACTAAAAAATAAAAACACTTTATTACATACTATATAAACAGGAGAATTTTATTGTGTGTATGGGTTTTAATATAAAGCAAAAACTAGTAAATGTTAACTATATAGTAGTTGATTGTCATTCACTTATACAAATAAATGATAGCTTTAGAAAGAAAAATATTATGTAAAAAAAAATAAGAGAGAGAAAAAGACATTTGATCGAGATACAAGCAAAAGAACAACTGCCGAATGATTAAAGTTCATTCAGTTTTTGCAAGATGGATTATTTTAGTGTTCGAAATATTGAAGAAATTAGTGACTCGAAATATGAAAGAGTAGAAATATTCTTTTGTTGGAGTTTGTTTTATTTACACAAAAATCTAAAATTCAATTTTTCATAAAATACTTTGTTTTGTATCTATTTTTAAACATTTTATTGTAGTCTTTAAGCAGAAAAATGATTTATAGCTTGTCAAGATAAGTGTTACACTAAGTACAACTTTACATGAATGAATTAATTCTATCTTTTGATGATATATAATTTGATTATGTTATCTTTGATAGTTGTTCTCTATTTGTGGTATTTCTATAAAATGTAAAATGTGTTTTATTTTAATATGATTAGATAAATTATTGATGGTTTCATTAAACCATATAGTTTTCATTGCATCTATCTTATATATTTTTTTTTGTCCGAAAATATTGAGATAACTTGTTGATTAGTTTTATTGATCTGAATTATTTCATGTAAATTTTTTTTGCAAAAAAAAAACATGAACAATTTCAACAGTAAAATTCAATTTTTCTCTGACAGTGCAAATTAGTTTTATTCAAATGTATTGAAATCAGACACATCTAAGTTTTTTATTAAATTCAGAAAATAGGATAAACCTACCAGAAAGTGTACTCTGTCTATACATCATCAACCAAGGCGATGTAGACAAGTAGCGATGGAGGCAAAAAAAAAAGATTTCCAGGTAAAAGTTGAACTACTGTCTACAGCTGAAAAGGGTATACTCTTTCAATATTAATGGTAAACCGTTCCAATCCTAGAAATAGACTCCGCTACTATATACAAGGTATCTCAGAAATATTGAGACTTGATAAAATTAGTATATATGCAGGCAGGAGCTACTCCCTCACCGAATGCGTGTAAATAAACTTTCAGTACTCATGCTGTCCTTTTAAATGAAATACTATTGAATGAATGACATCTTCTCTTGTAATAATAAAAATATGTACATAGTAATATGATGATGAATTTTTTCGAAATTAACGAATGTAACTTTAAAATTATTCCAATAACATACTAAGTATATTTCATATAGTTACGAAAACAATGGAAAAATAAAAACAAAAGAAAGAACTTATATAAATGGTAAGTTATACACTTGATTTATGAAAAAAAAAATTAAAAACTATCTCGAAAAAATTTTCGATTTCAAGACAAAAAAGATCCGAAATAAAGGATAAAAATTATATTACGAACTATTAATGAATTTTTTAATGATCGAATTTATCTCAAGATAATAATGTACAATTTGTTGACATGTAGTCAAATATGTCCATTGTGATGGATTTTATTCTAAACAACATGCAAAATGACCTGAATTCGCACGCAGATTCTGTGTTGATAAATGCAACACTCCGAGACTCGATGCATCTCATGGATTAGTTACAACTGTTCTAGTTTAGTACAATTACATCAGTTAAATTCGACACTTTTTTCAAAAATATGTGATAAGCATTAAAAGAGGATGTATGAGGTGAACAATGGCGAAGTTTTAAACAGTTTATAAGTAGATCGAATAAATTCAGTCGAAAAAAATCTTCTTTCATCAAAACATTGGACTTCCAAAAAATAGTCTTTTACCATAAGCATATGATAAAGATTGAGTTTACTTCAAAACTCAATGTCTCAATGAAGAAACATTCTTTTCGAGTGAAACTTTCTAGATATTCTGGGATTCGTTCAGCTTACCTATAGGTTAAATTATACATCAAAACTTCGTTATTTGGTTTTCCAGAGAGAACTTAAAATTGCTTCAAAAATTTAGTAAACCAATCATAACCTGAGTTAATACAAAATCATTGTATTCATTAAAAATCTGCATCAATTATCGACAAAACAATATATTAATCATTCGATTTTATCTAAAATAAATTCAACATAAAAATGCGTACCTGTAAATAAGGAAAAAACCTTGCAGACATAGAAAAATATTAAAATTATCTACTACCTATTCTATGACTTCCTAATATAACACAACTGTAACAAAAAAAAAGACGTATCGGCTTTTTCGTTTTCTTTTGTAAACAGTCCGAAAACTAACAGAACAATGATTCAGTATGTTGAGTTATTCCTATTCGTTACGTGTCCACGTCAACAATTCACACAAACTGACTATCACATGAAAAACTACCTATATAAAAAGAATGTTAAGATAACAACCAAAAACAGAAAATATTTATTTAACAAACAATCATGTCATCAAATTACACACCTGATATTGAATATGATTATTTATTTAAAATATTAATTATTGGTGATAGTGGAGTAGGGTATGGATAAACTTTTGTTTTTGATAATTCTCTTTTATAAAAAAGAGAACGTTTTAACTTCTATAGAAAAACAGCAATTTTACAACGATTTGCTCAAAACTATTTTTCAAATGAATATTTCGCTACTATTGGTGTTGGTAAGAAATTTTAGAATTTATTGTTGTTGTTTTTCATTTGTTCTTTTCTTCGATAAATTTAAAATAAAAACAAAAAATAGATTTTCAAATTCGAACAGTTAATGTTGATACAAAACGTTGTAAATTACAAGTATGGGATACAGCTGGTCAAGATCGTTTTAAATGTGTTGTATCATCATTTTATCGTGGTGCACATGGTGTTATGGTTTGTTTTGATATAACGGATGCTCAAAGTTTTCGTAATGTTGATAACTGGCTTGCCGAAGTAAAAAAATTTCGTGTAGATCAAACACCTGTTTATCTTGTTGGTACAAAATCTGATTTACAATCGAAACGTGCGATCTCTGATTCAACAATAAAAACATATGCTGATACAAAAAACTTATCTTATATTGAAACAAGTTCAAAAGCGAATGAAAATGTTGAAAATTGTTTTATTGATTTTGCACGAACATTAGTTACATATACTGATCAAGTAGAAATAAATCATAAAAGTAAACAAATAGAACAACCACCGGTTACCATAGGTGATGAAACAAAGCCGGTCACGACTGGTGGATGTATAGGAGAACATAGATGTACCATTTAAATATTGATCAAACTTTTATTTGTTACATGTCAATATTGATTTAGTTAACTAATGTCCGCGCCAGAATAAAAGAGGGGTGGATGTAAGCGCAATAACTGGATAACGGCAGTAGCTAGCGATCTACGGTTTTCATCAATTGAAAGAGGAGAAGGTGGGACGTCTTTTTCTCCTATAAAGTATAAGACAAAATCCTTTTAAAACTAATCATCTTCGGAAAATATCAAAAGAATGTATGAAAATGACCTACCATCTACATGAAATTTTGATTTTGACCTTCGATTTAGATAGAGGGACTTGAGATCTATAGTTCAAGACACAATGCGCTTTCTTACTTTTCATTACATTTTCATCAAAATGTCAAGCTATTATGACAAAAAGTTGAAAAACTTCGTAAAACATCAGCAAAATTCCCTATTATTTGTGCATGTAAATGCATGATTCCATTTTCTCAACGTTAGAATGTAAGAAGAGAACCTTTTGCATTGTATCTTGAACTATAGATCTCAAGTCCCTCTATCTAAATCGAAGGTCAAAATCAAAATTTCATCTAGGTGGTAGGTCATTTTCATACATTCTTTTGCATATTTTCCGAAGATGATTAGTTTTAAAAGGATTTTGTCTTAGACTTTATCGGAGAAAAAGACGTCCTACCTTCTTCTCTTTCAATTGATGAAAACCGCAGGTCGCTAGCTGCTGCCGTTATCGAGTTATTACGCTTACACCCACCCCTTTTTCATTCTGGCGCGGACATTAGTATGTATATGAGTTCTCAGTGCTAAAAATCTGAGAATGATTTTGTATTGTGATATCTATTTGCCGTTTTTTTTAAAATTTAGTTAATAAATAAACTCTTTATCGAACGTTTTGATTCATAGTTTATAAAAAATAAAATCTACTTGAAATGAATTGGTCAATAGCTCAAAGTAATTAGTGTGAACGAACTGCTTATAATAACTAGATGGTATTGGAATTTCACTCGATTGCAAAATGCAGTGGGAAACTTCCAATATCGATTGACGGGAAAAATGATATTTTCTAAACAATGAATAATTATTTGAACTATCGAATATGAAATGCTTTACTGAAATCAGAACTCCTGTTTTGTCGCTGCAAATTGGAAAGTTACGTTTCGATCAATCAGATGATCAAAGCCAAAAAGAAACTGTAAAGTAATCATTGTGAAATTCATTAGTAAGAGAACTCTATTAACGGATATAAACATAATTAAAATAAATACTTCCGATTGATCATTTGATTCTCTCTCTAATGCATTATCTAATATCAGTTGTCGTCAAGTAGAGTAGCGGCTAACTTTTATTGCTGTCTTGGTTTTAATAATCTTGAAAATTTGAAAACAAAGTTGATAGGAGCTACTCTTTTTGGATGGCTTTCTGTAAGAAAATGGATACGATGGATTCGACCATGAGATTTCATTCTTGTGTTTGAAGGACTATTTTTGGACTTTCACTTTTCGAGATCACCGTGACAAATCAAGTCTACATCAAGAAAGAAGTAAGAAAAAAAAACTCATGAAGAACTTCCTTAACTAATCAGTCAGTTTACTGTTTTATTTTTAATGGAATTTGTTTTTCTCATAAACGTTGACTTCAATCAATGTTAAAGACTTCTCAAATATTTATCATCGTTATACTCAAGTGAAAGTAATTATTCGAATATATTGTTGATCAACCAACAAATAAAATGTCTACTAATTCTAACCAGCTTTTTCTTGCATGCACTTAGTTAGGCGATTAACGTTATGTTAATAGTTGAAACAACTGATAAACTGAGTTTAATTGAAAAGAATGTCTTCATAGGATATTTCTAAATGTTGGTCAAAATATTATTGATAAAATTTTATTTGAAGCTGATCTGAATATTGAAATAGTTGTACGAAATTAGATCTTTAAAGATAGCAAGATAAAAGTCTTTGTCGAACTAATTATAGAATATTTTTCTAATATCAAATTCATTGACTAAATATAATTTAACAAGAAGATAACTTGAAAGATCTGTTTTTGTAGATAAAATGAAGTTTATAAAATATTTATATTTATTTAATTAGATGAATAATATTCCATATTGGATATCATTGTTCAAATTCTGCCATGCAAATAATGTTCATTCCCAGGTCAATGATTCCGGACAACAGATCCTGCAGGAACCGGCAGGAAAATGCGGGAAAATTCACCGTATCCTGCAGGAAAACACCGGAAGTCGCCCGAACCGGGCGGCAGTATTCCGGCCGAAAATTCTCCGTATTTTTTCCGGTGACTTCCGGTCAACTTCCTCCCGTTTCCTGCAGGAAGTTGGCGGAAAGTCACCGGAAAAAATACTGAGAATTTCCGGCCGGAATACTCCCACCCAGTTCCGGCGACTTCCGGTGTTTTCCTGCCGGAACCGGCCCGTACTTTTCGACCTGGGTTTATTTGCTCAACTAAAATATATGAAAACTTCTCGTAAAAATATTTGCCGCGTTTAAAATTATCACGCAATAAACATATTAAGATTTTAATAACACCACGTAAAAAATGTTACAGAAGAATTAAATGAAAAATAATCAGGGACTTAACAATATATAATGATGAATAGTTAGGTCAATTTTAAAGATGTTTATTGAGAAGAAAATAGATGTGTATGCCATACTAACGTAGTATATTAATAAATGTTGTTCGTCATTTTTGTTTTTGCAGGCCATGGACGAATGATTACTGTTTGTAATATTAGCTATTGAGCAAAGTTGATGATATAAACAAAAATAACTTATTCTAATGTTGTGCATTTGTACAAAAGATTGTTTTGGCATTCTTTTGTATTAATGTCCGAATGAACTAAAGACTAGTAGTCTATTAATATGACAATAAAATAAATTGAAAAATCATGACCCAAAACATTTTAAAATTATATTAGTAATGAGATTAAAAACAAACATACGAAATTCTTCAGTATTAGAAAAAAATTTCAAGTGACAAAGAATTACGTAGAATAATGACAAACGTGATTGGAACGTTTTCAACAGTAACAACTTCGTCAAGAAATCTCAATATATAACGCTTTTCCTGAACACTTGACTTGAACTAATGGTAGTATCTCCGAAATATATTTGAGAAGTTTCTATTCTTAGTTATTCAAAATCGACTTAAAACGAAATTTACTTGAAGAGATTAGAAAGTTTTGGAAAAACAATTTTTTGTTCAAACATGAAGCTGGCAATTGACTAAGCTATTTTGATTAGATGATACTCATAAACTTTCCCTTCATATCATAATCAATCTGCATACATGCTCCGAAATTTAACAAAGTGCAAATCTCAATGACGTATGAACTACTTGCAATAAACTTATGTGGAATTTGTTTTAGATAACGTATTGAAAATATTATTCATTAAGTGCATTACAGTTCTTATAGAAAATAAAAATTCATTTTTGATCTTTTTTGAAACTACTACAAAGATGAAGAAAAAAAACATGAAGCGTCACTGACTTTCGAAAAGAAATTGAAATACAATTTTGAAGTTCAAAGTTTTCCATCATAGAAAAAAAACAATCAATATGCTTATTCTTTTAATTTTTTCTCATGGACGTTGATTGTTGAATGGATTAATATATCGATTTTTGAACGTCAACGTATCTTCTTTTATTTCTCAAACAAATACTATTCAAATGAACGATGGGCAGCAATGAGATTCAAACTATTTGGAGTGATCATAGTCACATGCTTCGTCCGGTCACATTTCATTTCATATCAATGATATTACTGCTTTGACGTTTTTCTCTTAAGTTAAATAATTAATTGATAGGCGTATCCGCCTATATATGGCATAAACAAACCGATCACGGGGAAATTTCTCTTTCAAAAATAATAGATAAAAGGAAACATAATCTTCTCGAACTGGAAGGGTTGATCTTGCGTTGATCTACAGAGAAAAGTCTTCATTATCGATTTCCTAAATCGAAATTCATTGTTAGTTGGAAAAAAGTTTTTTCGAAAACTTTTGGTCAAAACCTACAGCAAAAGCTCATCACTTCAACCAATGCATAGTTCAACAGTTTCACTTCTTCCACATTTATCTTTCGAATGGCAAAAAGCGCAGTTTTTTTCCCACTTTCGTTCTCTCGATCTGCAGCAAAAACAAAATATCAGGGTGCATTTTATTTTGTCGCCGACAATAATTCTCAAGTTACAACGTCGTGATAAATTGCAATAAATAGTGAATATCTATCAGTGTTTTCTATCTTATGTTTTATTGTTTCTTACGTAACTCTTTAATTTGAAGGCAGATGAATAACTAATTATCGATGATAATTTACATGTCAATTTGTGGTAACTTCAGTTTTTATTTTGAAATCATTTTATTTTGTAACTTTTGATATAGTCTTTATGATTCATATTCAAAACAGAAATATCCATGCATCTAGAAAAAAAAAGACGAGAAAGGTGCTCGACTTCTTTGCGTTGCCATTAGTTCATCGAGATGCAGTTCTTAGAGAGTTTTTCTTTCAGATAAGAAGCCGTTTGATAAACGGAGATCACCAACAAAGCAATGCGCCAATGATCATGTCAGAACAAAAGTAATGAGGAAAGTCCAGTTACCTTAGAAAGAATAGATTTTTCAAGAAAACTGTTCGAGAGATCATGTATGGCTCACTATTGTGCGTTCTTTTGGAACGAACTGAGAGCATGATAATACGAATACTTTTTCAAGAGCCGTTTGAATTGTAACTTCGATTAATTTCTATGACACAAAAAGATTCTTCTCTGGGCGATAAAACAAGTTGTGTCCATTAAGAAATTTTTCGATAAACACTTCATTGGTAAATATTCTCATATTAGAGATTAAAAGCCTATTAGTTCGATTTTTCGCTTTGACGACGAAATTTCGATATCCAACTTGAATACGCTGGTATGTAAACATATTGGGATACATTTTCTTGGTATCAAGACACGTAATGCAAAGAAAGAATAGGATGAAAAAAATGAACACGTGCGATTATAAGTGT